TATCCATGTGTGAAAGAAACTATTGAAAATAAATGGAAAATAAATTCCATCTTGGAAATTTTTCAGGACTGTACAAAATATTGGTAGTATCTTCTAATTGACATAGTTCTGCTTATTACTGTGGAAAAGTAGAAGAAGATTCTTCTTTGCTTTAATCGGTCCAGAACAATAACTGTTTCTTAATTACTTAATTATTTAGAACTTTCAACAGAACTTTCTTTGCGAAATTGTATGTTTAAAAAAATGTTTAGAATATAATGTAATAAAAATGTTCAATTTGGTTGGGATTGACATATACTGCATCAATTTGATAGTTTATATTATTTTGTAATTGCATATTATGCAAAATTTCATCTCTCCGAATATAAATATTATTGATAAACGTCGAAGTAAAAATTGTAAAGTTAAGTATAATGTCAAAATAATGTTGTAAAAAAATTATATTTAAATGAAAGAATCACGATTATATTAGGTGTAGTAAAAAGAAATCCATTATTTTGCATGAAATTGAATGGAAAAATAATGGATTTCTTTTTACTACATCTTATATAAATTGATGTATTCCAATGAACCATGTTATAAATTTAAACAGGTAAATACGATAAATTCGACCTCGATATGACAATATGACATATAATTTAGTCCATTTCAGAATGGTTGGATATCGATGCCCAGCATCGTTAATTCAATATTATTGTAAAATCATAGCATACGAGCGCGCGTGCGAATGTAACCAGCTTTATGGATTTCTTCCCTCTGTTCTTTGCTATATAACTGAATCATTAAAGCCTTCCCCTTTGCGAGACTTTACATATTATTCATTGTCAGTATCGGATCTTTTTTGGTTATCACGATAAACTTTGTCTTTCGTATATAAAAAATTATTATTTGCTTTTGCCGAAAAGCAATTGTTTAATTACATTAATTTCATCATGAAATTATATTTATTTCGCCTTGTCATTATCCAATTATCAATCATTTTCTCTATCTTCATTTTAATCTGTTTTCATTAAAATGAAACATTCTTAATTTTGAAATAAAATAATATTTAATATAAAATTTTATTATTACGTTAATGGATAACATTTTTGTTAAAACTTTTTCTAACGTCTCTTATTTAAAAAAGCTTACAAATTATCAGTTACAGTAAATAATGATAGATATTTTCACATTAATTTGAAATTTTTTAAATAAAAAGAATTATTTTACATGTTAAAAAAATGTTTTGATAATATGTCGATAAAAAATATTGTACTATGCAAGCACATTTGTTAATTGACATTCTGTATAGAATGAAGTTTCAGCAAAATCGAAATTAAAAAAATTTTTTTTCTTAACTTTCGATCTTTCGCTACATTTCTTATCTTGTTTATTCTAGTCTTCTATGTATCGACGTCACGTTTTTGTCGAATAAACTTGAAGAATCATGATAAGATGTGATCAAATGGTTCTATAGCGAGTTAGTGTCAGCTGTGTATTCACGCAAGATCACATATCGGGAACAGATCAGTCTGGACAGATACAGCTTTCATACTCAAGGAGAAAACAAACAATGTTTCTAAGCTAACATTTTAATTAAAATCGATATTTCCAGAGTTTTCACAGCTCTCTCTCTCTCTCTCTCTTTCTCTCTCTCTCTCTCTCTCTCTCTCTCTCTCTCTCTCTCTCTCTCTCTTTCTCCTTCCTCTTTATTATAATTCATATCATCTCCCCAATTTACACATATACAATATTCTATTCGATTTTTAGAAACTTCATTAAATGAAGAACAAATCGCATGATTAATCATTTTGATTGTTTCCGTTGTTAGCAAAGTAATCTAAAATAATAATATAAAATAATAATAATATCAATAACTTGATTTTGGGGAAATTTTCCGTTATAATTTAAAACAGTTTAAAAGGTGATATATTACATTATTTAATATCAAATTATTTTATGTCATTTAAGTATACACGTTGTAATAATTAAAATTATGTTTACGATTATATAAAACATTATAAAATTAAAAAGTAATTTATCAGCTTTAAAATCTGTATTTACTCAACTTCAATTTTGCTAAAATATTAAAAAATCGCGCTCACGAGATCAATAAAAGTCTACCGTTTAATTGTAAGAGATCAGTCTCAAACGAAGAAGATTTGAATTGCTTTCACTTGATTGGTTGGAGGTAGAATTAAATTAAAACTTCGTATTGTTGTCTCATCAAGTCTTGATCGTCGTTATCAGCCTTAATTTTCTGTTTTCAATTGCTGACTCGTCGAAAGAAGAGAACAAAAGAAGAAAAGAACTTTTGTATTTTAGTATCACATCATACTATCCCTTCTTTCTTCTTTTTTTATTATATTTTTCCTCATTCCGTAGATTTCTATTTTCAGATGTCCATCATGGCTAAATAAGTGTTAAAAAATATGTGAGAGTCGTAAAACGATCTACTTTAAAGTTAAAGGTTAATGATAAAAATGTGAAAACTTATTGATATAAAAAAATGTATGTATCTATACAGCGCAGAAGATTGAAGCAATATTGCTGCAATGTTGCAATATTACTGATGATGAATGTAACATTGCAGAGATATTACGGAAATGTAAATTAATAATATAGCCTGTAATATTCCAGAAACATTGCCAAACTGTATAATTATTATTACAATAAGAATAATATAAAAATATAATAATTTCTTACAATATTTATGTACAGTTTTTTAGTTTTTAGCAGCCATTTTTATGATATAATAATTAATCCGTTTTTATATTCAAATAAAAAATGTATTAATCTATTATTTAACGGTCATTTCATTAGTTAAATTTTATATTTATTTTAAGTATGAAATCAAAAGATTGTATAACTTCGATTTTGAATACAATACAATCAAATACAATGTATTATTATCGGATAAAACGACAATCAATTAAGCTACTAAAAACGATTTATCGAAATATTAATTATGTGATTGATGATGTATTTACGCCAATGCTTCCAGATCAAAAACGAGAGTGGAGGAGATACACGCGCAGGAATAAACCAGCATTCGAACTTTATCGATAAATTTTATATTATCGTTTTTTAATTGATTTCAATTGACTCGAACTAGCTTCGAATTAAAAAGAATCACTGTAATTAATAACTTAATCCATGATTAATTTATCAAGCGACTGTAATATTATGTTAATGTAGGTAATATTTGCGGTTTGCTCGGAGCACACATGTACATTTTTTTTTATCCTTGTAAAAAAATTTCAGAAATCCTTCAGAATTAATATTACTTAATTATTATTATTTATTGGAATATTTTATGGTTTTATCATAAAAAGTGATTTTTGGAAAGCAATTACACATATCATTAGAAATGCGATTGGTTAAAAAAAATTAAAGTTAGTGAGATATATGTATATATACAGAAAATTTTCATTTTAGAGTTCTTTGTAAAAAATTTATCTAAATATATTCCATTGCAATGTTATTGGAACGTTTCATTGCAATATTACAAAAAGTGAATATCTAACATTATTGGATTCATGCAGCAATAATTTAGCAACGTTTCGCAACCATCATGCAATTTGCAATGTTTCAATGAAATAACTTTGCAATCTTTCTGTGCTATATGGGTAATTTAATTTTTCATTACTTGCAAAAAATCGTCAAATCTTGCAAGTATGTTATAATCTATTTAAATAGAAAAAATTTTAATTAGAAGAACAAAAAAAATACAATATATTTCTGAACAAGCAAGAATAGAGAAAATCGGCATCTATAAACATAAGAGAGCGGAGTTTATATTAAACTAACAAGCGCATGTGGTTCATCAACTTTTTATTTTTAGAATGAAATTTATTTAGTAGAAAATTCATTATTAAATCAGATGCGTATAGTTATTGCAAGAAAAGATTTGTGAAATTGTCAAATTTTATTGAGGTTAGTTTTTAAACTTTGTTTTATTATATAAAAATAATAATATTTGGTAATAAAGTCTGCATGTGGTGATAAAGTAAGGTCGTATTGATAGAAAAATATATTATTTATTTAATTGTAAAGACTAGATTTATTCATAAAACCACAAGGCGTGCAAGTCGTAATATGAAATACTCAGAGTATTTCTAATACGAGAGCATCTAAACTAAATATTCTAAATGATTCAATATCCCAAAGTGTACTGTCGAATGATATGTGTGATATAAATGATATTTCATTTTTATCGCAATTCGAAACATATTAAGAATAAGAACTGATTGTTTAAATAGGATCCATTGTAATTGTCAAAACCGATTAATTTTTTTTTCAAATGTTGATTATATATAATTAAACTAATACTTATATATAATTAAATTTATATGTAATTGAACAATGTTACACGATTTAATTTCGCAGATGTAGTTTTATTAAAATTTCCAAAAATACTGATGATACATAACTTCCGCTTAGTTAACAGATTATGATTTTGTTACAATACAGTTCAACTCTGTCAATTTAATCCAAGTTTATCAGTAAGTCAGCTGAATTAGGATTGCTAGTCAATTTAACTCGTGATATTACTGCGATAGTTTATTGAATTAGCGTTTTAAGATCGAAAAATCATTTTGGTGCGCGTTTCTAAGAATTATGTACATAGTATATAAATTCACACAAGAATCATGCAAGCATTTAAGATCCAGCTAGACCGTTTAAGACTTTGATTATAGTTTATGACTATAGCTTGTCCTAATTTTATTTTTATCGGACAATCAAATATATTATTTACAAGATGTATATATTATATATATTATATATATTATATACAAAAAACATTTTTCTCACAACTTGGTGATTTTTCAGTGATTTTCTTTCTGATGCGGATGTATTAATTAGGCTTCTCTACAGACATTATTTGTAAATAAAGTTCGAGATAGAATACTTGGATATATTGCTAGACGGATAGATGGATACGTAGGGATAGATGAAAGTATTGAAAAAGTGTTTTCATCTGTTCTAATTATAAACTTTGTAAAGAGATGTGTACTTACGAGTATTATCGTAAGGTATTCCGTTAAGCTCGTCGAAGCAGGGAATAGTAGCCAAGGTACCGGAAATCGTCCGGGGCCAGCACAGTATGGTGTCCCAGCTCACTTCGCATTCTTGCTGTTCTTGTTTCTGCTTTTCATGTTCTTGTTCACGTTCGAGACATTTGTGTTGTTCAGCACTGAAAGACTCGTTCAGTTCATTAATATAGTTCAAAGCATTCAACACGTAATTGCGACCGACTAGCAGCTTTGTGCCGTTTGTGAGAAACCAGGCCATGTCCGATCACTGCATTGACCTCTCTTAGCGTTATTCTTCTTATTGAGCTATCTCGATTCGAGGAAACAAATGTATCTAGAAAACAGAAAAAAGAATTCCTCTAAAATTCTGCAATGTAATACCTTAAAGTTTATTTGAGTTTAAAAGTAAAATTTAGATGCATAATAAAAAGATGGCAATTGGCAAAATATTTTTTCAAAGATCATCAATTTCTATAGATATACTCAGCTAACGCTAGTCATTCTCATGAAAAATTCAAACATTTTTATTTCAAATGTGTCAAATATTCTGGAATAGTAAAAAAATTTTCACAGAATATTTACATATCAACGTAATGTTCAGAATAATATACATATTAATACTTATTAATTGTATGTATCGCGAAAATCACTCACCCACGAGCAGTACGCATCTCTGTCGACGAAGATGCATTAACTCGTAAGTAAGAATCATCTGGGAAAGAATATAAAGAGCGCAGCAATTTGCTTGTGAAGCTCCCAAAGTTGAATGTTTTTAACAATACAATTTTGTTTATAAACTTATTCAAGGATCACCTGGAATTTCTAGGAAAATCTTGCAAAATATAAAACTTTCTCTGAATATGTAACAATGTATGGAATTTTTAACGATATTTGAATGTAATTGCTTTTCTGTAAACATTTTGGAATATTCTGAAATACCTGTAAAATGTTATTTTAAGATTTTGTAAATATTTCATTATTTTAGGAACATTTTGTAAATGTTTCAAGAATATTTCTTATAGCGTTAACTAGAGAGATACTGTTTTATTATTTATCATGGATCTTCGGAACTTGATATAGGTATATATATATGTACTCGTTGAACGTGTACAAAAAAGCTTCCGCACAAAATGCGTCTCGAATGTGATCCAATAGTTCTTGTGCAATGTCAGTCAAAAATATGTATGTCATGTATATAATTCTATATCTTAAATCTATTTGTCTCACACTTTTCTCTCTCTCTCTCTCTCTCTCTCTCTCTCTCTCTCTTAAGATTATCTCTCTTTAGATTATCAATATGAGGCAATCTAAGTTTTTATCGCCCTAAATAATTTGATGCAAAATATAAAATATATTTGTTTTTATAAATTTTTGTTAGTATAATATAAGTATATAATAAATTTTTGTTAGTATAATATAAGTATAAACATATCAATTTCATTCTTTAATTTTCAAATTTCGCTAAAATCAATTTCATTTCTAATTTATTAATAGGAAAAAATTTCATTTGCCTATATCTCATTTGCTTACAAGCATTTTTGCGCACAAATATAAAGTTAAGAAATAAAAATATATTTACAGATTGATTGTCTACAAGCACTATTCTCTACTTTGTAAATATAAATTATTTATGCGCAAAAGTGCAAGTAGGCAATCGAGCTGTAAGTTGGAAATGAGTTATAAGCAAATGATGTTGTAGGCAATCGATTTATACGCAAAAGGAGCCCTCTCTACTACAATAGTAGTAAATTTGAAAGAGATTATAAAGAAATAAGACATATTTCTATTGGATAAATTTACTGAAAATTCGTTGAATAATAAACTCATGAAACAAGTGCGTCTAATTCTAAACTGAGATATGTTCTGTTTAATTAGCGAATTAACTTTTAATTAAAAGGATTACATAGCTCATTAACGTTTCGATACTATCCTTATCCTCGTCGCGTCGCGTCAGTTGCAAATTTTGTGGTTCTGCATTGATTTATTGGTATAAATACGTTAAATACAAGGCATTTTTATCCGCCCATGTGCTTAATCTTCGAAAGATAAACCGAGAGCTAAAGTATTTTCTTCTTCCCGACATGTAATTATTTCCATCGCGTCGATCATGAAGAGTAAAATTCTTCCGCGAGGAATACACTTCTTGAGAAAGAAAAGGTTGTAATATGAGATTCCTGAGACAAATTTTATGAAAATTTTTCAAAATATTTGAGAATTTTAAAAATAATTGAAAATAACGACGCTAGCCGTCATATATTTTCTATTTTCACCTTTCATTCGTTTAAAGATTATTGAATTGAAGATTATTGTGTTGGGTAGAATATCGCGACTTGACTTCCTCAGCAATTTCTCAATACGCTTTGAAGTACGAGATCCGTACTTGGATCGACTGTCATACGGTTACGATCATCCATCACGAAGCTCTTGGTCCACGAAGATGCCACTTCGGAACTATTAGACGAAGCTCTTGGATACTTGAAATCGATAATATCGATAGTTACAATAGTTTCCCAGGAACGCAAAAATCATTGTGATGGAAGCTGCGATAATTCGCATTCTCCTATTATTTGGAAAATATCTCTCACTTGTAGATTCTTGAACATTGTAATTTTGCAAGAGGACAAATAACACCTACAACGATCGAATATTCCGAGCTGGTTATTAAACGCGATCGCGCGATTGTCGCTTAATACTGTTGCCTTTGTTATAAATCATCGTAATTAATTATAAACGTTTACAATGAAATATAATAAAAACACGCAATAATATAATTATGATATTTATAATATAACTTATTGTTTGTTTGTCAAAAGTGGAATTTATTCAGTTTCTTTTTTTTACATATGACATTGTAACTGTTACACTGTTCACAATGCACTGATGATTTGCACAAACTATAATTTCATGAGACATATCTTTACATCTTTAGGGATTAACCGACGGAATCAGCAAATTAATATAAATATATTGTAAAAAATTTACAAACGATCGAGTTTTAATTTATGAAAGCTTTTGACAAGATCTCGAGAGAATTTTGTTTATAAGTACTAAACGAATCAATATCGAAGTTTCATTCGTTCACAGTTTTATTTGTTTATCCTTTCTTTATTATCTTTGTTCTTTAATCTTTTCCTATCATATTATAGAATTACGTAGGAAATGCGAGAACACATCATATTTAGAAACATACATACAAACATACACATGCGTTCATTTAAACTGTACATATTTGTAATATTAAATATCTTTCTCGATAAAATTGAATCGATCGCTTTAACTAAATATGTATTTCCATTTTTCCTTTGCTTCTTCGAAAAATATTTAAAAAATACATTAAATAAAAAAGAAAAACATAAAAACAAAAAGAAAAGTTAAACGTTAACAATAATAGTGACATAAAATTGATTAAATCATAAATTTTTTTGTTTTGATTCTTGCTTTTTCTTTCTTCACTTTAATACCTTCTTAAAGTACGTCGCTTAGAGAAATTACAAAAAATCGATCGTTTTTCTGAATGTAAATTATGTAAATTTATCTGTGTAAATGTAGTTGAAGTATATAAATTTGCTTTCAAAGAAACTATATTTGCAATGTATATTCTCTTGTTGCAAGATTGTCTGTAGATCTTGCAATTTTATCCTTGACACATGCATGTTCCTTCTTAAGATAGTTGTATCACTTTTTTTCAGATCTGTTTGGATACTATACTAATATAGCGAATATTAACCCACCACAGGCAAATGTTAATTATAAAGCCTAAGGAAGATTGCAATCTTTCTAAAGCTTTATAATATATGCCTGGTTACCTTTAAAAATTATGCGTATATATTAGAGAATATCATTATCTTCAAATAGTAAAAGCTTTAAACAAATCTTAAGAAAAATCATTTTTAAATAATGTTTGCGATACAACAAACGATACACTTACTCTGCCGCGTCTCTGTGGCTTTCATAATCTTCGCGAAGGACGTGTTACTTATTGTTAATACTCTGAGAATGAGTTCCGGAGCGCTAATTTAAAAAAGCGATCACTTATCACAGGGTACTCAACGAAGAGATTTATCAGCAATTTAATCATTTCGATATTGTTGACCCTCAAGTTATAATAAATGCGTATGAGAGCGCGAATTCTCTCATTGCCCAGCTAAGAGCGAAGAGAAACAGATTATAACGCAAACACGATGATGTATTGTGAACCATTCGCAAAGATGATCGCGCTTCATTATATTACACTAAGTATATCAGACCAATGATTGCTAAAAAATTAATCCTTTATAATTAACGTTTTAAAGGGATAATTAGTCGACGTAGTTGTATCACACGTATTACAACATGAACGCATTATAATATTGCTATACTATGGCATAGATTTTATTGTGTAAATTATACTTTATGCTATAGAATCTCACCGGCTATTTTTTGCGAGGATAAATATTACGTTATATTTTACCACATACGCACAATACGCCATGTATTTTATATTATACATTTAAGCATAATTCTTTCCTCGAAGCGAATCTTTCTAATATTGTATCGTCGTCTATCTATCAATTATAACACGCGACTACCAGTCTCTAATATAATTCCGCACGTGTTTCGGAACAAATAGCCACTACTGATCACCTTTGTTGCTTGCAGTTGCTTAGTGCGTCAACACCGACAGCACCGTGACGCGTCGAGAAGTCGGTTTTGCAGTGCTTTCGCGCAGTACAATAGTCAGATTAGTTGGCACAATTATAATTTTTATAATTCATTAATCTTGCGTTGTATTCACTTATTTTTCTTTAATTTATATTTTTAAACAGGTCTTTATTTTTAATCGCTTAAAAAGCCGAAAGTTGTAGGAGCTTTGATAGTTTTTTAAAGATCGACTTGATGAAACTCAAAGAACTAGACAGCGTCTAGTTTAAATAGATGCACATTTAGTGAGGGATATGTTTTCTAGATGTTGTGTAGTCTAATTCATTTCAATACTATTTATAAATATTAAATCTGACACAATTATATCAATTAATATAGTTTTACAAGTTCTATAAATTATAGGTGTTACAATATTAATGATGAATGAGATAAATTAGAGGGATATACATACATGTAAAGCATGCGACGTATAAGAATCTTGTAGAAGACTGAATTTCGCGGGTAATATAATTTCTTTTTAATATTATTTGCAAAGTATTAATATACATAAAATATAATTGTACCAATTCCAGGAAAGAATGTTACGTGCGCGGTCGTTCTGATATGGATTTTCTAGGCCCGCGCAGCCTAGAGCCGATGATGACGACTGGGCTACTACAGGCTACAGGATCGAGTACAGGACAAGGAATGAGTATACGGATGAGCATGCGCCATTCTGTTCGTCGAGAATTCTCTCCATCGTATACCTTCGGAGGTGAGAAATGATTATAGAATCAACATCGAATCGATGTCGATTCGACGTCGAAATCATCAAATCGACATCGGATCGATCGATGTCGATTTGATAATTTCAATGCTACTTCTCACTGGGATACGCATTGTATGCGCGTGATCATCAACAACGGGGGTTGCTAGATATTGCCAGAATCGTCACCTGCCTTATCGGGGAGGCGTGCAGTAGATAAAAAAGATTTCTATTTAGAAGTGTCCCGTCAAAATCTGCAATTTTATCGGAAAAATTCGCAACTTAATTGTTTATACTTTTTATACGTAGAATCTGCTCCTTCCTAATAATATCAGAATAATCAATAACAAAATAATTTACAAAATATAAAGGTATAAAAAAAATTAAATATGAAAAGAAAGCATTGAGAGAAAAGAAAAACGTGAAAGAATTGCTATCTTTTGATAAGAATTTAGGATCATTATTATTCAATCGCAACATAATAATTTCTATTCAAATGGAAGACTCCAAACTCAAATATTATATATTAATTTATATGTCTCGAGAAATAGTATTCAATGAAATTTTGATAGGAGGATATATATATCTTTAAAACATATCTACAGATAGGCTCATTTTTTTATAAGTAATATATATATATATATATA